TAATTTAAAAAGTATTTAAAAATTTTTAATTGAAAAATTTTATTTTTTGTAAGTTCTAATTTTTGAGACAACAAAATAATTTTTTATTTCATTATTTTCATTTTCTAATACAATTGAAAGAGTAAGAAAGAAATTTCCTTCCAATTCGAAGAAATAAATTTAATAAATTCCTTTTTTTTTTACCAGAACTCCACACACAATAAATAATGCCACCTACACCATTATAAAATTTTCTCTTCTCTTATATTTTATGATAATTTCAATTTTATTAAATTTTAATATTAATAAATAGAAAACAATATTATTTAAAAATAATATAAAAATAATGAAAGAATTTTTTTATAAAATCACACAAATATTAAAAAAAAAACTATTTTAATTCAAATAGAATTTATTTTTCATTTTTTGTAATTATAATTTTTTTTTCTCTTAAAACATGGTATGACAGATAATATTAAATATGAAACACAGGAAAATAAAAATTTCACGACGCGCTGTACACATCCAAGGAAATCAAGTGTGCGATATAAACTAAAATCAAAATTCAAGAGAGAAATCAAATTTTTGTTTACAGCGCTTTACGCAAATAAAATAAAGAATTATTTGTTTTTTTTTTATATTTGTATATACATAAATATAATATGTATGTATGCATTTTGTATATAAAAATACAAATAAATTGTATGTATGTATATTTATATTTATACTTACGTTTATTTACAATAAACATTGTCTACATATTTTAATTCTTTTAAAGAAGTTATAAAACTACAATGCTACAATAAATATGAAACGAGTTTTGAAGATTGCGCATTGCACGGATACATAACTGTTTAAAAAAGAATATGGTAGAAAATAATATATGTATAGAATAAAGAGAAAAAGAGAGGAATACTATACATGCAAAAATAAAAAAAAAAACGAAAATAGTAAAATAAAGCTGTGAATTGAAGTTAAGCGACAAAACGGCAAGCTATAAAATGTAGTTTCAAGCATGTTTTCAAAAAAAAATAAAGTAAAAATTTCAAATATAATTTTATTTTCTTCTTTTTGAGTTTTACATTTTATTTTGTAGCTATAATAATAGTCTAGCTACAAAAAACAAACATTTACATTTAAGTATGGACATATTCACATTTATAACAACTAATACATACGCACTCTTATATGTAAACACTTACATATTGTCAACTTTTAAATACTATGCATATGAAACATGAATTTTATAAATATTTACGACGACCAAAATTGTATAAAAAATACTTGATTAAGTGCACCGAATTGGACACAATGTAAACAAAAGTTCGATGTCTATTCAAATGTCAAAATTGATGACAAAAAATATGAGGACAGTTTTTGATTTGGTGCACGCACCGAATTCAGGACAGTGTTTTTCTTTCGATATCTATTCAAGCGTCATAATCAAAGACTGATAGTAAAATCAAATCGAACTCATCAAATAATATTATGAAACTCAATTAAATAATATTTATCACTTACTTTGCCCCAATTGTATACTCGATAGCACGAATATCAATTTCATATACATATACTATACTCTACTATCTTTCGAAAATTCAATAAATTTTAAACATGTCCTTAGAATTTGTCTAAAAACAACAATTTACACTCAGCTCTTTACTACTCTTTCTAAGGAATACAAAATCTATATACTATTTCATATTCACGCATATACAAACATATGAATGAATATGTTGCATACATGCGTAAATAAATATACATATTATAAAATATATTTATAAATTTTTTTACAAACACAATCGCAAAACATGCCGGCTACAACACTTTCAATAGTATTTATAATATTATGTTTATAAACATATTTATAAACATTATACCCCTATATTTTATGTTAAAACGGTCTTTGAACCGAAAAAAATCTAGTACTTTAATGACATTGAAGCAAATACATAAAATTTGTAGTTATGTAGTATTATGATTGATTGTGCAGAATATCAGCTGCTAAAATAAATCTAAAAAATACAATTAGTATATGAAATTGTAAATTGCATTTTGTATCAGGTTTTTTCTTTAAAAAAAATGTAAACGCTGCAATAATTTTTGTTTATAACTACATGACATATATGTATGTATGTATATAAGTACATATATTTGTACATAAAATTAACAATATCAGTTATGTCAGCATATTATGTTTATAGTTGTATATGTAAATATACTTTATTAAGTCTTACTGTTTTATTTAAAATTATTTTTACGAGTTAGAATTTGTAGTTTTTTGCTAAGCCAAAATAAAAAAAATCAATAAGCCGCAACATCAGCCGCATTTAATGTAGATTTGAGCCGTTTAAAGTTGCTTTGACTTGTTTATCTTCAAAATTGTTATGTTATATAACAGCATTTTAGTAAAAGAAAATAAGAATAAGAGTGGAAATATAAATGTGTAATTTTGAGCTTGAGAATAAAAATTAAACTAGTATAACCGAATGGCTAATATGTTATACATATAATATTGTATAATACAAATTTGTTTGCATATGGACGTGTGAACAAACATTTTCAAAAATGTTTACATATTTAAAATTTTTATTAATTTAAATAAATTGTTCCAATTTTCCAAAACCGTGGTTTCTTTTAAAATAGACTGATTGAAAGAAATTTAGTAACTCAATGAAAAATAGACTAAACATTAAAAACTCTGAGCTATAGTGTTTTTTCCGGACTGTTATATTACTTATTGTGTAGATATTACGCCTACAGATATGCAAAAAACTTGATTTTTTTTTTAACTCTTAATGAAACTTTTATTTACAGCAGCCTTATGATTTAAAATTTTTGTAATTAACAAGATAATTAAATCTTTTCTAAAATATTTAATTTAAATGGTTTACATTAAAAAATGAGTAAATAATTTGCTTGTCAAATATGCTCAAAATATTCTCTTGGAAATCAATCGTATGGTAAGTTTGAAAAAAAAACTTCACATACTTGCTATAACAAAAAAAAAATTTATCATAAAAATTATGTTACCACATTGATAACATTTACATTTTTGCTATTTTATTATCAATTTAGTGATAATGTCATAACACAACACTGATAATACATATGTTCACTCTACCTACCTGTATACGTACCTACACAAAAAATGATAATAATAAAATAAATTTTGGCTTAAATACAGAACGTCGTATACATATTTATGTATTTACAATAAATTATGACTATTTTTAGAATCTAAAATTTTGCCTCACTGGCGAGGAACACATGAATACATAAAGTGTGCGTGTATATACCTACATACTAACAATTTTTAAAGATATGATATTAAAAATTATTGTCACTTCCACGTTGATAATTAAAAAAGAGTAATCGAAACTTAAAATTTGATATTCTTATATAGATATTCGTATTCAATAATTTTAAAATATTTAAATTGTAAATAAATTTATATAAAGAAGAGAAAAAGTTAAAATAAAAATAAAATGGTGTGACAAACTAATTTTAAGTGAGTGCCACAAATAGCTAGATCTATAACGCAAAATTGTAGTAACAAATTTAATTGATGTTTTATTCCAATAGTTTGTATTGCAGTTTGATATTAAACTGTTATAATACAGTTAAATGAATTGAATTATATTAACATCAACACCATGACAAGTAAATGGCATCATACAAATGTAGATAACGCATTCTAAGCATTATAAAAAATAATCATTTCAAAACATGTAATTATATTACAAAAATTAACATTAAGAATTATAATTCAATGGCAAAATTTTACAGTATAGATTATACCTAAAATTTCAGAAGTTTATTTTATACGTGTTTGAAATCATACAAATGGTATGCGAAGCAAATGTATGATATCAAACATGCATTAAGCAAAATATTTTAGCTGTAAATTAATTTAAAAGTTAATTACAAAGAAAAGGTTTGAATACACTGATAACTACTCAAAAAATATCATAGACAAATTTCTTTTCAATTAATATTTATTTTGCAAAATTTGTTTTTCATATTATTAAAATTATTAAAAAAAAATAATAAGAAAAAATACAAATAGAATGAAAAAAAAATTCACTTGAACAAATATGAACGCACAAAATTCATATTTTAATTTGATATGTACACACTCTTATAGGTACATATATAATATAGTACATATTTACAAGAATACATAAGACCACATAATATCGTATATTATATAAAACATTTGTACAAATATTTTTATATGTATTTCTATACATAATTAAATTATGTGTTTATTATAATAATAATATTCTCCGATTATAGACATGAATATAATAAAAAGCTTCCATCTGAAAAAAAATTAAGCAAAACTAGAAATTAAAAATAAAATAAATTACGAAAGGTAAAAATGTTTACGAGATCAATAATAATTACTTTTATCATAATAATAACTATTATGACAATAATTATTACTAAAAATTTCAAGCCACAAACCAAAAAAAAAAAGAAAATTTAAATCACGTTCCGTATATTCCATAACAATTATCTATATACATAAAAATATGTAAATTATATATACATACATACATACATATTAGACACTAGTGTACATATACAAATTACTAATTTATTTACTAACTATTTTATAATAGTTTTATTCATTCATATTATTCACTCTTGCATACTAACTAAAAACATGCTGATCTAATGTTTTACGATATTACAAAAGGTTTATTATTATTTTCATATATGTAATTCTTATATGTAATTTGTACTCATCATCTGTGAAAGCACATTAGAAACACAAAAAAAATCAAATATCAATTAAATTCATTTTACATTCTTCTTTTTATATACACACATTCATACATACGAGTATTCATAATATACATTTATATTAAATATTATTAGTTTTATTTATGTACTCAATATATAGTTACTTTTTAAAGTACTCTCTTAATACCTACAATATAAATAATACCTAAAATAATTGAAAAAGCTTAAAATTTTATTTAGTTATATTTAAGCTTTCACCGTTGCTTCTTGGTTTGCTAAATGATCATTTAATATAATAAATTCGAAAATATAACAATAATTGTTAAAAATAGACAGTATAATATAACAATAACAACAATAATAAAAAAACAACAAATTATATAACACAAAGATAACAATAGTAATAATTAATAAAAGGTAACACATAACAAAAACCAAAAAAAAGACAAAAAATGGAATTATGTTGGGGTATTGCTGCTGCTGGCCGTATAACACATGATTTTGTTACAGCACTTAATACATTACCAAATGGTAATCATAAAATTATTGCTATTGCTGATCCAGAAATACAAAGAGCAATAGATTTTGCAAATAAACATCAAATTAAAAAACATTATGGTAGTTATGATGAACTTGCTAATGATCCTAATATTGGTATTATATATATTGGTACTATAAATCCATTTCATTATAATGTATGTAAATTATTTTTACAACATGGTAAAAATGTATTATGTGAGAAACCATTATGTATGAGTTATACAAAAGCAGAAGAATTATATCAATTGGCCTATATTAAAAATGTATTTTTATTAGAGGGTATATGGTCAAGATTTTTTCCATCATATAAATATTTAAATGAATTAATTGAATTAAAAAGTATTGGTGATATTAAAGAAATTCATGTTGAACATGGTTTTAAAGCTGATATTGATAGAATTTTAACAAGAAAACTTGGTGGTGGTATTACAATGGATATTGGTATTTATTCAATACAATTAGCACAATTAATTTTTAAAGGATATCCAAAAAAAATTAAAGCAATTGGTAAATTAAATGATGATGGTATTGATTTAGAATCAAATATTGAATTAGATTTTGGAAATGATTGTAAATTGTATGCTCATACATCTGGTTTAAAAAATTTAAAAAATCAAGCAATTATTAAGGGGACAAAAGGTGAAATTTTGGTAAGAAAATTTTTAATTTATAATTTTTTTATTGTATGTGTTTAGAATTTACATTAAGCTTTTTACAATTACCGTTAGAGTTTTAGCCTTTTACCCTGATAGTTTCTAGTAGATCTTGTGGAAAAAATTTTATGATGAAAATTTTTTGAACTAATATGCTTGGAAACTGAAAAATATTAAAAATAATCATGTTATTACAGTAAACTGTATTTGGTGGGTCCAACACAATTTTAATCAAAATAATTATTTATATATTTTAAAAAAATATTTTGTAGGGCAAGCATTATATATTAATTTTTTCGCAATATTTTCAAATCTTATCAACTGCTGCCTCAGTTAAATTCAATTAAAATTATTTAAAAATCAATATTTATAGCCTTATCATGCATATGTTCAAATTTAATATAATCTCCTTGAAAATGATCAATAATAACAGTGATAATTGACAATATAATCTATGTATGTATATAAATAACCTGCTATGATTTCTATTTTTTAATCATATCTCTATATACATAAATATATTTAACATATAACATACTTGTATATTTAAGATGACTTTTATTTTTGCAACTTACGATCATTTTATTTTTCTGTTCTATTATACTTGACTTGATATTTATAACATTTAAAATTAAAAAATTACCCTTGGTTACTATAAGAATCATATATTAACTGATTAAGTTATCAATAGTATTATTGATCTTATATAACATTAAATAATAATTTGGATAGCAATTACTGTACTGTTAATTCGAAATTAATATGGTATAATTAGATAAATCTGATGATAACACTTCTCTTAAATAATTGTGATTGCTAATATTTCGTGCTAATATTTATTTCTTAATTTCCTCTTCATCGAATCCATTTATTCTACAATTAAAGTCATAATTTTTTAAAAATTTCTTAAAAATTTATAATTTTGTAAAAAAAATTTATAATTTCTATTATATTAAATTTTATACAATTTTGATTACTGAAATTTTATTTAATATGAGTACTTTTCTTATTTTATATAGTTGAAAAATTATTGGTGTTGTGATAGTATTGTTGGACCAGATGGTAAAATTAAAGAATTTCCATTGCCAGAAGGAAAATTTCCATTTAATCATTTCAATTCATGTGGATTACGTTATGAAGCTGAAGAAGTACGTAATTGTTTAGAAAAAGGACTTAAAGAATCACCATTATATACATGGAAAAATAGTTTAGAAATGATTGCAATCGAAGATGAAATACGACGACAATTAGGAGTATTTTATGATTTCTAAATGAAAAATTCATTTGATTTATGATATTAAAATATTATTGTACAAAATTTATATTTTATATGTAGTTAGAAAAATGTTAATAAAATTCAATTTATTGCATGCTTATGTTATTAGGAAGACGTGCAATAGATATTGAAACACAATCAAGTTACATTAAGATTTTATTAAAACAAAATTGTTAATTGAAATAATAAAGATTGATTCAAATATAGTGTAACGGTAGAAATTTGTTCGCGGAACAATAACTAAAAAGACCGGCTCATTCCATTAAACTAAAAACTTTAATTTTTAGTTTAAAAATGATTTGGTTATAGTTTATTATACAAAATGTTATTAGTAATGGAGTTCTGTTTAAAATTTGGTAATGGGGTCTTTGAATCAGTTATTGCTAGATTCGGACTTACCTGTGGAAGTTTAATTTAGAGGATGTTAGCGCCTTCAAGTTCTTTGAGAAAGCTTCAATGAACATGCTGGGTAGACAGTAGGGAAGATACTAAAACTTACAGAGGCGTCATATCATATACATAGTAGGAAGGCACAGCAAATGTTATTTCAGCAGAAGATACTGGGATTTATTAAGTGTCGGGAAAACATTTCAGATGTCATTTCTGATACATAATCAAGTGGCACGCCAAATACTATTTAAGGGAGCTACTCATTTAGAGTCATAGTATTAGAGTCTTAGTATTTATTCGATTTCCTGTTCAAATTTTATTTCCATTTATTTCCTAAATACTTTATTATTACAATTTACAAAGAAGAATCTTCGAGCATTTTATTTTATTGTTAATTTTTAAAAAAAATAAAATAAAATCGATTGCTGAAGCATAAATCTTCCTAAATAATGCTTCTCAACATGTTTTAATTAAATAGTTATGTAAAATATTTAAAATAATCCTAGAAAATCGTTCAGTAATCCTAGAAAATTTAAGAAAACATACAATAAATTCTGCACACAATACGAGTATCATTATGAAAAAAAACCCAAACAAAATGAAAATTATTATAAAGGTGAATAAACTTTAATAACCTTTATTTATAATAAATAAAATCAAAATAAATGTAGGTGCATCTACCTAACACAATATATAGGTATTATAAAATTAAAGTCATCAAGGTAAATTCTTAGAATTTTTGATCATCTATTTCGTATTGCTATTTTTTGCTTCTTCTCTCGAGTTATTATTATTCAAAATTGGGCTCTATATAAAGTGAACTTTCCTCCTTAAGAGATAGAGCGAGAAAACTAGAAGAGAGAGAGAAAGAACCTGAAAAGTTGAACCAGATTTTTTGGTTATTTTTCCTATCTCCTCCGTCTCCCTTCCCAAAAACAAAAATTTTCTCCAACAATTTCTTTACATCCTTATTTCATCCGGAAAAGCTAAAATTATTCTAAATTATTTTGAATAGTTTTCTTAATACTTATTATTTATGCTTCGTTTTAAGAAAAACAAAAATAAGAAAATTACAAAAAAAAATTTCTTATTTTTTTTTTTTTTGTTTTTTTTTTAGATATTTTTAAGGATAACTAACTAAAGGATAATTAAGTTATGAAGTTTTCTATTACGTTTTTTCTTTCCTTATTTTCTTGGTTCGGTTTCTTTTTAAGTTGAGGTTGCGTGAATTACAATCAGGGTAAGAAATTTTTCAAAAAAAAAAAACAAGAAGAAAAAAAAATAATATTAAATTAAAAGTAAAGTTTTTCTATTGTTATTATGGGGTCTATATGGTAAATTAACTTTAATAGCTTTTATGGTGAAAATATAAAAAAAAAATTAGAACAATTTTTCAGTAAATAAGGAAGGAAATTTTTTATATGCATGTTTGTATATGTATAGGAAGCATTTAATAACAATTTATTTAATATTTACATCATGTACAAAGAATTTTCAAGTATAACACAAAAAAAAAATCATTTTTTATATTTTCCTTTTGTTTTTGTTATTTGTTTTTGTTTTATAATCATGTTTGCATGTATGTTAGTATTTAAATCTTTTATATAAGAGTAAAGACAAATTAATTTAATTGAATAAAATTTCTATATGGTGAATGATGTAAAACAGTAATAAATAAATGTGATTGTAAGTATAAGAAAAATTTAGGGTTAAACCAAACAACTTTAGGATACTTTAATGAAAATTTTGATATGCCATGAAAATAGCAAAAACTTTGAATTTAAAATGTGGAATAAAATTGATTTTGGAAATGACATTGAAAATATTCTCAACCGTAATAACATAAACGTATATAGTGGTGTTGTACGGTTTGGCCGACTACCATAAATAAATTCATATTCTAAATTAAGAGTTTTAACTAGCTAGGATTACTTTGCCGCAGTTTTTTTTTTTTTTATATCAAATATTTAAGGTTATTAATATTTATTGTTTGTTTTCTTAGTTTTTTAATATCGAATATTATGAATATATGAAAATTATTTGTATAATAATTTTGTTTATTCATAATTTTTATAGTGCCTGACCGGGTTTTGAACCCAAGACCCTTCGATTAAAGGATCGGTGCCACAACCCAATGATCAGCTTATCACATTAGAAGCATTTTCTAATTAACTAATTTCGTAATTGATCCCATTATAGTGCCACATATACATATTGAAGGAAAAGCATAGCTATACGTACAATATAACATCATCCAATACTTGATTTTCTATTTTTCCATTTCATTATTTCAACAATTCCTCCAACAAATAGAAAAAAAATTATTATAAACTTTAAATGATGTTCATGTAAGTTTTGCAAAAATTTAAATAGAATTTAAAAAACAACAACAACAAATAACTGCGGCAAAAAAATTAATGAAAATTTTAATAAAATTATCTTGATTGTTTTTTTTTTACAAAATGACCTCTGAATTCTTACGTATATTTTCACTATTTTACATTTTATTAAAAAAAAAAAATTCCTATACATCTACAATATTGAAATTTAAGATTCCTTCAATTAATAAAAATTTTTTTAAATATTCAATTGCATTATATGCACATAATTGAACTGAAGATATAAATTAGTAAATAATGTATGTATGTATGTATATATAAGCGACCACATGTAATAATTTCATTATTGCAATAGAATTCATTTTAAAAGCTTTATTCCAATATAATTATGATCTAAACTATTTTCTGAACAGCGAAAATTTAATTTAAATATTAAATTTATTTAATAAGGAAAAAATTTAATATGATGCTTATGAAATTTCATTAACATTTTAAGGTAATCAATAGCATTTATCTACTAGACGGTATATATATATATACTAGAGTGTATAACAATACTGTATAACATAAATGATGATGTAAAATTATTATGAATATGTGCAATGAATTTGAAAATTTTTATACTATGAATAAATTCTAAATATTTTTTGGATTATTGATTTAAGATGAAAGAATTTTGTAAGGTAAAATTATAAAAATTTGTGGTTGCGGTTAAAATTTAATTTAATTATTATTTGAAGAGATTTTTATTTTCTCACACAGATATGTGTGTTTGTTCGCATATATATGTAGATAAGAAATGACTGGATGCTTACACATGCAATTAGAAAATCGGATTTGTGGAATTGAAGTCAAATATTTTTTATATATCTGAAGGTATTAATGTATAATATTATTTTACAAAATTTATTAATAAATTATTGCAATTGAAATTTTTGAAATTCAATATTGAATTTTTAAAGTTTAATTACAATATCCGCAACAGACAAGTAATGTATTTACACTTAATATGAGTAATAATAAGTCCGTAAACCTCTGAAAAACATCTGTAATGGCTCAGTAATTTCCTCGTATTTTCACAACATCCCGTCATCATATACGACCCACTTAGTGTAATTATTGTTATATGCTAAGAGAATGTAGAGAAAATATTAACTTTTCCTATGGATATTTGCTAATTTTTCAATATGAAAACTTGATTCATAAATTGTGCGTTCCAAAACCTAAAAAAAATAAGTCAAATTAGTCAACAAATTCCACTTAATATCATTTTTAGTTATAAAATTAACTATTATATTAATGTATTCTTCCATCAATAGATTCAAAGACTTTATAATAGAATTGGAACGGAAAGCAATCTACTTACAAATTTTCTTTATCTCATATCCTTAATAATTTTATATTTGTTTAATCTCATAATGATAACATTCCAACTAAAGCGCCAACTAACTAACAATATAACATCTAACTATCGTATAATATAAAATATTTTAATTATATATGTATTTCTATAAAATATTTAAAACATGCTAATTCTTAATTATGATATTATTCAAACTATTATACAAGTATTCATATAACATGATTAAAAATTCAAAGAGACAATTACAATTCAATTTTATTGTATAATAAAGAATAATCGGAAATTTTGTATTAATTTTTATTTTGGGGAAAAGGAAAACAATGTAGATATAAATTTTTATTAATTATATTAAATATACAAGTTAATTAATTGAAAACGTTTGACCTAATTGAGGTATTAGATATTATATACTTGTATACAAGATTCTTTGCTTCATGCTTAAACAATATAACAAAATTAAACTATGTATATTGTGCCATTATAATTGAAAATAATAAAGTGTGTACGAGAGGTCTGTGTTTAAAAATTTCTTTTAATTATATGATGTGTTCCTTTTGGAGAAATAGGTGGAAATTGTTTATAAATTGAACGCTATTTAGTTAAGAAATTCTGTTATATAGGAATACAACTTATTAATTTAAATATTGAAAATAAAAAGAATATTTTCCATAATGCATAAGTATTCTCTCGAAATGCAACGAAAGCTGTACATAGCAACGAATGCTGTGCATAGGCTAGCAGCCGGCTCTGGTGTCGTCCGGAATATTATTCATATTATATTGAGCGTTGCTCATATGGACTACAGAGTGTTGCGCGTTTAGAGTGTTATACGGCCTTTAATGGAACGCTTCCTTATATTTAAAAGATTTTTATATGTATATTAAAAATATTTTGTTCACAATAACCTTTGAATCGGTTTTAGAATTTCAAGTAGATTTAAATAAAGAGAACAATATTCTTACACATTTATATATAAAAATTATTTCATTTATATTTTCTTATTATCCTTTTATTGTTCATATTTTGTTTCATATTAGACTCTTTATACATAAGTACATACATACATATAAAAACAAAAGAATTTTTAATAACATTAAATGAAAGGAAAAATAAG